TCCCATGATGGAATGTTGCTAAAAGCAGTGTAAAACTCAGTTCACTCACTCACTGTCATGATCTGTTCGCATCATATCTTTGATTGCTGGTGTCCCTAAACTAGTCCCTAAAACTTTGTCACTTCTCCAAATGTGACTAAGACACTTATTACGCTCCACTCACTCATTCTGGAATGTTGTTATTTCATAACCAACACATTGCAGATGAGGGAAAGCAATTTAAAGACAATAAAATTGATTATTGTGTTTTACGACACTCAAACATGCAGTTTCAACCTATAAATACAGGAAATTCATGGTTTTACATGTTTAAACATAACTCAGTAGCGGAACTGATGTGAGATACCACAACAAAGACCATATGTTTTGCTTGATTAGGAATAATAATCGACATTACGAGGATTTACAACACAAGTGTATTGGAAGAGGCAGTTGCGCACAGCACTCAGACCCTGCTTCTGTTACAGGTCTAAGAGGAAGGCGTAATTACCCCTTGTTTATGTGTCTCCGAACATGCCAGTTTAATGATGGCCAAATAAATTCATTATTCAGTATTATCCCCTTGCCATTATTCTGACACCCCCATTAATAAATATTCTTCAAGAGTTTGGTTTTCTTTACAATATGACATATCCTGTGCCACCAGTTATGTTCTAGTACCCTAACAACTGCTTTCCATGTTAGCAATATGGCTGCTTCAAATGCATCAACTTCCATCATTATGTTTCTTCATTAGCATTTATTACTGTGCTTGCACAAACAATAAAAAGGGGACAACTTTCATTAGTTTTCCAATAAACCCCTACTCTCTGATGGTGAAGCAGCCTGCTCCTTTTGCTCATTATACATTTTAAGTTCGTAGATGCAAACTTTTTTCTACTGAAGCTTAATGATCCTGAGCCAATACACATAAGAAAGCATATTTTAGTGTTCAGGGTTTGGTGTGAAACAAACAAAGTAGCTGAAAATGTTCTTGTAACTGTTAAGAAAGAAGAAAAATACCAAGCTTGTTAGGCTAAGTTAACAAAATTTGTAACATTTTTACACAAACTAAAATAGCTCAAGCATATTTCACATCATAGTATAGTTAGTCTTCAAGCTGTATCTGTTTTTATGCTACTGTTACATTGCATCATTTGAAATATTAGCTCCTAAGAACTTGCTTTAAATTCTCATGGTAGCTGCCTTTTATTCTTCACCATAAATCAACAAAAGAAACTTTGAGATACATCTTCAGAGTAAAGTATTAATTCTATCAGCTATATGTGGACTGGGTTTCAAATTTTTAACTGTCATGTTTTGAAAATTTAGTGGTAAAAAATATGCCAAAAATCTTGAAAAGCATATATTTATCTTACAGTTCCTTACATATTGATAACATTTGGCCTGGTGTTTGTGGAGCGATGTTTGATACACAAGGGATCAAATGCAGTAATGGTATTATTTTAGGACATCTTGACAGTTGTAGAAACTTATGCGACATTTGATAAATATCTTTTTATGGCTCAATCTAGATGTAGATTTAACACATGTAAAAACAAATGCGATAAGGTACTTTTTCAAACTTTTAGCACCTTTGTAGAGGAAAAATGTTTGTGTTGAAAAAACCTGTCTTCTTTCGATATGTTAAAACTAAGATTAACAATACTGATAAATGTAATTTGATTGGGGTTAGGCACTATTCAGGGCCCATAAATCATTAGTAAGATCTTGTCAGTTGTCTTTGAGACATCATAAACTATCATCATACATTTTCAACACTTTTTTATTTATCTGTTGAACAAGGTACAGGTACAAACTTCACACACATACATGTCAAGCCCTGATAAAGAGATCTTAAATTCAAGCAAATACTTCATTTAAATGATTGATGAAAATAATTTTTATATGATATAGTGATAGTTAAGGAAATTGAAATGTGGTATGGTCTATTAGAAGTTACGGAATAGGATACTGAAAAAAATGAGAAATTTATTTATTTATTATTATTTTTTATTCACTTTTCTTTAGAAGTGTGTGTTGGTTCTATTGTAGACAGGGAATGAGAGTGAGCACGGTGGTCCTTGCTAGTTGTATCTTGAATGACCTCATCAATATACAACCCCAGGCAATATAAGCCAATATTACACCTCCCCAGGAAACTTCATCTGGTGTGAATTAGGCTATATTACCCCTCACAGTTAGCCCACCCCATCTTTCCAGGCAGGGAAGCTCACATAAAGTTTTTATTGTTTTTCTGGCTGCTATAAAGCCATATATATCTCCATGTCTCTTGGGGAGGGTCTCAGTAAGACCATTGTACCCAAGCTTATCTACATAGTCTCCACACTTTGAAGGTTCAATACTTTTTATGTCATGTTTGTGTTGCTGCATTGATCAAGTGAATTTTTTGCAAGGTTTTGTTTTGCGACTCGACCTTAGGGCTCAGGGTATTGACCTGTATGGAGGAGCATGGGGGAAATGAAAACAATGCCTGTGGAGGCAGAGTATGAAATGAGGAATTAACTCTTGCTATGCAGTTGCATGGCTTCCTTCTGTTGGCTGCTCCTGCAATGATTCAAAGCCCCTATGAAAAATGCAGAAAGTGTATGAAAATCAAATTATCTAATACCTTTGCTCTTTCAATGCATAACTCTGTCCTATTTACAGTCCATTAAAGGAACAGGTCACTTTTGACCATATTGTATATTTTTTTAATGAATACAATATGTTTGTGATGCAAAATTAGTTTCACTTAACTGGCAGTGCACCTGATTTGTTAGTTCCTAGTTACATAATTCTGCTTTGTGTCAAACTTGTCTATGGTTGAGGAATGTCCGCTGACCAGTGTTACTGACCTGCTAACAGTCTTGTTACAAGACAAGACCATTCTTAATAGAGACATTTTCATTAGACACATATTGCACAAGAGTCCCAATATTATAATATTGCAAACCTAGGGTTGTTATGATTATTTTACTGTAGATGTTTTAAAGGCTGGTTCCATGGTACTTTTCTATTTGATTTAACAAATTATTTCTATTTTATGGTCTTCGAGAATGAGAGATTTTTTAAAACTTGCTATTTATGTTGGGAAATTTGATATAAGCATTAACTACTCTTTATTGTTTAACATGACTGTAAATTAGGAATTTCACTAATAACTCCTAGGAGTTTAGATCCTTGTAATGTTATCTACCTGGCAACCACTTCCAGTTCACCAAGCTATCTTCCACATAACTGGTTGTAGTGTAGATACCAGGATGACTGAGTTACTGGATACATGCTTGAGCAATCCTTGTAGATATGCTCACTGGGCTAAATAATTCCTATGGAACTAATTCCTAGTTTATGATTGAAGATTCAGTCAGTCTAGCTGGGTGTGTAGATGTGAATTCTGTCAGCTTTCTTGATGTCAACAACAGTGTGTGAAATAAATGAATTTTTTTATGATAGACCCAGTAGGAGTCTGGTGCCTGTTTTAGATAGTCATCAGGAAAGCCATATGTTTCTCAAACAATAAATGTTGTGATTTAAATAAAAGAGATGTTGAGTGAGATGTTTCAATTCTAAATGTGTTTTCAACATTGTTTGAAAGACATTTAGATTTTGTAAAGGCTATTTATTTTCCATACAAAGAAACAACAAAAATATTTTATCTATTTTATATTTCATAGGATGCTTTAATGCAAGTATTATGTCATATATTTTAAAATTTATTGCATCTACAAAATTTCCACTCATCATCTGACAACAGTGAGTTTGAACCACTACACAAAAGTCATTAAATTTTTTATTTCCAAAAATTTTCTTTCTGCTTGAAATAATTGTGATTGAATTAGGCATGTGTCATAAAAAAAAGTATGTAAATGCAAGAAACATTATAGTAAAACTCACAAAGTCTGCCATATACTTGCTCTAGGCATATCAATCATGAATTTTATGTAACCGTTTCCTTTCACTGGAAATTGAATGTGAATAGAGAGCGCTGCTTGTTGAAATGAGGCAAAGAGCAAATGCTTGCTGACAGAAACTGTCTACAGTGTCTTGCAGTTATTGTTTATGGTGAGGATCTTCTCTTTCAAATATTCATTGAAGTAAAAGATTTGTAACTTTAAAGATACCAAGCATATCTGTGCCACTCTAAAAGAAACAGTTTAAAAGCAGTGAAGATTTGAACCACCAGTTTTTCCTTCTCCATGGAGGTTAAGAAGGATGGTTGGTTGTATGAATGCATGAGAATATAAATCTTGTGACAGGAGTAGAAATGGAGGTGTTTTGGACTGCTGTCTGTGTATTATACCTTATGTAATATGAGCATTCCATGGTATAGTGCATCAGCCCAGATAGTATAAGGTCAATGGTTCAATCCCATCTCCGTGTCATACCAAAAGACAAAAGTTAGATGATAGAACTTGAAAATAATGTGGCTCAGGGACTGTGAGACAGACAAGTTCAGCCAGGTGTCCATGTTATACTGCAGGTGGTATAGCAGTGGCTGGTGCAACGTTAACAAAACCAGCACGTGTCAACCTGTGTCTGCATATAAGTGCAATAATATCAAACACAGTGTTAACCCCTTTTTGCCTCACTGTCTTGTAATCTTGGTATGGGTAGTGTATTTGGTTGAAAATGAATGGCCCAAGTTTCAATTCCCTTCCATTCTTAGAAGCTGCCTTTATAAAATCACCATCTACCTGTATGTGTGAATGATCATTCTGTCAAGCACTTGTTGTCATGTCTGACAATTATTTACAGCCTGCAGTTTTGTAGTTGCTACACCCAGCTTGCCATGTAAAAACATTCACTCACTCACTGCTGTGTACCTGAATGTCAGATAGTGTGGTGGTTAAAGCATTTTCTTGTAAAGTTGAAAGCCCATTTTCGATTACCCATATTTATACAGTGCCTGAAGCCAGTTCCTGACTTTCCTCAGCTGTGATATTGCAAGAATATTGCTTAAAGAAGCATAGAACCCAATTCACTCACTTTGCTATATCCTTATCCTTATTCTATTTCAGTGGCCTGGTTCACGTTTGACAACACAACGACCCACCCTGACATCATGTTCACCAACAACAACCTCAGTATCACCTGCAACAGCTTTGACCATCGAGTGGCACTTGGCACTGTTGGCTTCTCCAAAGGCATCCACTACTGGGAGGTGACCATTGATCGCTATGACAGCCACACTGACCCCTCCATCGGCATTGCGAGATTCGATGTTGATAAAGGACTTATGCTTGGTGAGTACAGAATCACATTCATTGGAATAGACCTTGATCATTATACTGTTTCTTTGCTTTGTCTGTCAGTAATTTGCCTCCCAGAGTATGATCCTTATTGTGATCCTTATTATTTCAGCACAATACCCCTCATTGTTATGGGTTCAAATCCTAGATTTGCTCCAGTTATGATCCTTGTTATTTCAGCACCATACCCCTCATTGTTGTGGGATCAAATGCTGGATTTGCTCCAGTTATGATCCTTGTTATTTCAGCACCATACCCTTCATTGTTGTGGGATCAAATCCTGGATTTGCTCTAGTTATGATCCTTGTTATTTCAGCACCATACCCCTCATTGTTGTGGGATCAAATGCTGGATTTGCTCCAGTTATGATCCTTGTTATTTCAGCACTTTTGGCAAGCTCATAGACTTCAATGAAATGGGAAACATCAGTGACCGATTAGGATTTCCCCCAAACTTGAGCTGATGCAACATGATACCACTGGAGAATTGTTCAAAGTGACATTGAAAACACAAACTTCCAAACTGGTCAGACATCATCTATGTGTGACAGATTATATACTTTTTTATTCATAAATCTCTCTTTTCTGACTTGAAAGTGGTATGTTGGTGTCAGTGTCACATGTAAGTGTGGCTGTCAGATCAAACACAACTAACTTTGTGTAACAATGTCCCCCATCACTTTATTCAGACCTTCTACATCAGAGAACAAAGCATTAAGTCAAAAACATCCAAGTCCTGATTTTATTGCTTTCTCCATCTGTAGTTCTGTGCGAGTTCTGTTTCCTGTCAGACTATTTTAATGACACCTATGTCAAAACACATTTCAAACTGCTACAGTTCTTTCCACACACGTTTAAACATTATTACTAATGACTATCTTCAAAAATATGAAACCCTCTTAATGTGTCATACTACATTTGGGAGATATGTGTTTTTGTGTTGTATTTTTCCATTTGCTAACATAAATAAATGAACTATGTGTCAGTGACAATATGTAGATGCCTGTCTAAGGCTGCAGATTTGTAGTAGTGCATCACACATGGAAAAGCTACATGTTGCTACATTGTGTCAGGGTGACGGGTAATGACTAGTTTACATAAGGCTTGGTTCTGAGGAATCAAGATGGAAGCATGTCACAGATGGGAGAGGAGGTTCTGAAGAACCAAGATAGAGGCAGGCCAGGGAGGTGAGGTTCTGAAGAATCAAGATGGAAGCACATCATGGATGGGATGCGAGGTTCTAAAAAACCAAGATAGAGGCAGGCCAGGGATGGGAGGGGAGGAAGTGAGGAATCGAGATGGAGGCTAGTCAGGAATGGGAATGAGGATCTGAAGAACCAAGATGGAGGCAGGCCAGTGCTGAGAGGGCAGGCTCTGATGAATCAAGATGGAGGCATGTCAGGGATAGGATGGAGGTTCTGAGGAATCAAGAGGAAGGCAGGTCAGGGATGGGAGGGAGGATCTGAAGAATCAAAATGGAGGCAGGTCAGGGATAGGAGAGAGTATCTGAAGAATTAAGATGGAGACTGGTCAAGGATAGGAGGGCAGGTTCTGAGGAATCAAGAGGGAGGCAGGTCAGGGATATGATGGAGATTCTGAGGAATCAAGATGGAGGCAGGTCAGGGATGGGAGGTAGGATCTGAAGAATCAGGATGGAGGCAGGACAGGGATGGGAGGGAGGTTCTGAGGAATCAAGATGGAGACAGGTCAGGGATAGGAGGGGTCAGTTGGCTTAAGGGTTGTTTGTACCGGTGATGTGATAGATGGTGTTGAATGATGCCCTTTTAATGAAAGCATGCAATGTTGGTTCTCACAGTTACTTTAGGTTGATGGGGTGGTGGAGCATTCTGATTTGATTTTTCACATCAGAATAATGTGCACAAAGCTTCCTGTTTTCTATTCATTCCTGAAATAGTGCTAAATGGAGAACCTTTCTCACTCATGGCTAGTTTATGTGGTGATCATATTTGTTGGTTTATCATATGTTTATGATACTTTTTTGTGGCAAAGTGGGGCAGCAGTTGTGGTTGTTTAAATCATTTCGGAAGCAAAATAATTGAAAAGATTACTTTTGAAAGACACTGGATGTTTATTGGCAAGAAAGTCATGCACATATGTACAATGATAAAAAAATGAATTTGCTACAAAAGATAGAAAGGGAATTGCTGTTTTTCTTGCTAAAGAGAGATGACAATGCCAGTATCCTTCGCGTTAGAAAATCATGCCTTAATTTCACAGCAACAAGCATGGTTGTGCATATCCTGGTCTGTGCATGTGTAAGTTGACAGGCCATGACGGGAAGAGCAAGATTTGTAGGTCTGTGTCGTAACATGGCCATATGGGAGATTTACAGGGGCACCCACACATTTTATGATCATAATCGTGCTGAGTCTGGTTGTAGAAAATATGGCTCCAATTTGTTAAAACCTGTAAAAAGTTGGATGTTGTTTTTGGATTTTTATCATTTCTTGTATTCTATCTCTGTCGTGAATGATTGAAGGTGAAATATGCCCTAAAGAACAACAGGAACATGCATATTATTAGTTGTCAGGTTTCAACCGTTTTTGTTTCTTCAAAGATGAAATGGTCTATTTTTAGTTGAAGTTTAACCTAATAGTAAAATCAGATGAATGTATTTTCTAAGAGTATATTATTTCATTTAAAGATACCAAGGATTTAGCATTATGTTTTTAGTTCTAGATCTTTTATGTAATGATTTAGATTGGAATCGGATAAAAGCAACTTTCATTAAGTTGGTTTTCCCAAATTTTTAGATCCAATTACAAAAAGGTTCAGGGTTACGCTATAGCCTTCTGCTGCCAGGAATGTAAAATTAACTCAATTATCGCCACGAGGTCTGTCACAAGCCCACTTGAAAGGAGATGAATTGCCCAGGAACTAGCTAAGTGCATACTCAAAGCTTTTTTTGGGTCATGAATATTTTAAGTCAATTCCATCTCTCTAACCTTGACAAGACTTTGAGAGGTTCAAGTTTATCCAGTAAATAAGCATGAACATTTATGTACCTGTTACAAATTTAATCAGTTTGACAATTTCTCTGCATTTTTATGAGAACTATATGTGCTTGTAAAAGAGGAGAGAGGTGCAGGAACATCTGTACATTACACCTGGAAAATCATGGTAGGCTTCCGACCATGCAGTGCCATCATGTCGGCTCTGCACATGGGGTGCTTGTACTCCTCGACTCAACCTCTTTTCTCTTGATTCCATATTACTTTCAAAACAACTTCAGTCCGTCAGTCCATCATAATCCCAGCCAGATGGCTCCAGACAAACGTGTGATGCAAAAGAGTTATATGAATATTTGTCATAGTTTCAGAGCAAAAACCTGTTCATTTATTTACAGAATGATAGATTGAAAATTCTTCTGATGAGGAAAGCATAACAAATTATGTGGAAGAAATTCAGATATGGTTAAACTATGTTTTCCGAGGTGCATTGGGTGCACTTTCTATTATAGAATGATAGTAGTCAACATTGATATTTCTCAGACAGATCCATGTGTAACTGTGTAGGAAAGTTTTGTACAGAATGTACTTAAAATTCAAATATGAGAATGAGGTTAGATAAATGTAATTAAATTTCCTAATTTGCAATTCATCGGTCAGAACTTCATAGCAAATTAATCCCATGCTTTGACTGGCAAAAAACTAGAGCTCAGAACAGATATTACTTAAAAATGTCAGATGAAAAAGTGGGAGATTTTCTGCTTTTTAGTAAAAAAAGATGCTTCAATTATGTCATCATTTGAGATTAATCTGCACAATATGAATACCCAAATCGGTTCACGTGTATGGTGATTACATGCAACTGCAGAGGTTATCGTAAAACTTTGATGTTCAAATTATGAATTGACAGATGTTAAACCATTTAATTTTCAGGGAATTTTGAATTAAGCCATATTAGTTTCTTTGAAGATGAATTGAAATGTGGTCTTTGCTCGGTGGATGGCCTGAGTAAGCCTATTTTCTCTGCCGTCTTGCATTAGTGGAAACATCCAAGGCTTACCCTGATCAGTGGGGAGAGATACAGTTACATTATACAGTTATCTGGCTAACTGGGCTGTATTACAGAGGCTAAACATGCTGTTATATAATGGTGGTTCCAGTAGGCAGCATTCTATATTTACATAGATCACAAGCTTTGGCAGTGTACATTGTGTACGGTTTGCCAGTTGTGTTTTTTATGTACAATATGAAAATATTTTCCTGTATTGTTGTTGTAAAGCTTGAAAGTCAGATAGAGACATTTTGTGCTATTGCATATTCATTAGTTGGTTTCTTGCATGGGTTTGTAGTTCAGTGCATGTGTAAGAAAGCATCATAATTTGTAAAATGAGACTAACAATTTTGAAGTGAGAGGTACAGGAAGACACATTGATCTCAGCTGCTTATGTGGACTGCAAAAAGAACCCCTGTAAATCCATTAGACATGGGTGTAAATATTAGTATTTATCTAGACAGTAATTGTTGTCCCACGGTTTGTTAAAAGGAGGTGATAGGCAATATGCATGGCTGTCCATCTGTCCGTCATCCATTTTCAAGAGTAGAACTCCTAAACCCTTGACTGTATTTACTGAAACTTGCTACACAGATCAGCCTAGTGGTGCAGTGGTACCATTTTGATGATTTGGGATATTTGGGTTTTCTTTATTTTTTTTCAGGTTTTCATGATGACAAGTTTGACTATAAAGATTTCAAGTGTGGATTTAGCATTCAAACCTGAAGCTTTCATTGGGCATTCAAACATTCAAGTTTAGACAAATATTATTGAGTGTAGACTGTAGAAACATGATGCCATGTGGAAGTATTTACTGGGGAAAACCCACCAGAAGGGCAACACTATGATATCCTGCCCTTCCACTTTAATACATGAAGTCAAATGTTTATATTGGGTTGTTGACCCTTTCCCTGAATGTGAAGCACATGTACCATGGATTGGAATATAGGCACAACTCCTATTACAAGACTTCGG